CAGCTCGAAGCGGCCCACAAATAGCAGATCGATAAATAATTAATAATAGAAATAATAGCTTTACACCTGCAGCCGTTTAGCATCACTGACTCACAGACAAACACTGAGGCTGTCATGGCAACTGAGGTATGTAATATTATGTTAAGTGGACCGATGCTGAGGCTTTCAGCCTCGTTTGTGGCTGTCAACCTGTTTAATTGGATGCTGGAAAGGAATCTTGTGACCCCAGCTGGGCCTTGAGCACAGACAGCCAAGCACAACGGGCTCCGTTATGAAATTAGAGGCTTTTAAAGGAGTTAATTGACTCGAGTATATGGGGAGGCGATACAGCCAAGCACGAGGGGGCAGACAAATGTGCAAACACTAATCTAGAGAACTGAATTATAGGACGTTTTAATTCCACGATAAGCCGAGCCGAGACTAAAACACCTCCGGTCTTCAAGAGTGATCGATGAAAGCACTCTTTAACAGTTTGCTTGCGATGAACTCGAGGCAGTAACCCACCTTTCTGCCCATTTTCAGCTTTCTTTTTCTCCACTGCGCCTTTTTATTTATTTATTTTTTTTGAGAACACACACAGGCACCCATCAGCTCACCTCTCTTTTTGATTGGTCGCCATAACAACATCACCATGGCAATCAGCGGCATTGACTTGGATTCTATTTATGCGATGATGTCAGCTGATGTGGAAATATCAGTGTGTGCTCTTTGCTGACAGATGCGGGATGATGCAGGAATGTAGGCCGTCACACACACTCACGCCCAGACGTTGTTTTCACGTCGTGCACATTTGTAGCTGTGAACCCACTCAGTAAGGCGTGAAAAAAAAATCTGCAACAGGTGCAAGTTATGTATTTAATGCGTTTTTAAGCATGCCCACATGATGCTGCTATTCAGTGAAAAGCAGGTAAGTGGGTGACATGCATTCAGACCACTTTACCTCTTCTCATTTGCTCATTCAGGTTCAGTCTTGCTGAATGGCACTTGTACATGTGGAGGCACTAAAGGGCTAAACCTCTGATTAGTGCATGACCTTGTCTGCCACCTGCACAACAGCAAACTAGCATGCATTTCTGAATTTGGATCTTTTCCCCCCAAAGATAACTAAAAGTCTTCCTTAATGAGTCTAAACATCCTGCTGAATAAACATTAAAAAATAAAAACTGCTGTCACTCTACTGCAAGCATCGCTGCTTTTCTTGATTCAAAAGCTGACAATTTATTTTTCAAGTCATGTGCATGCCCGTGTGTGTGTTTGGAGTACTTTAGGTGCGAGGAAGTGAAAAAAAAAATCAATTTTTAAAAATGGCTACAGAGGACAGCTGGGGTTTTTGTTTTCTCTTTAGATGAAATGTAAATATGAGTGGGATTGTGTTATGATTGTAGGACTTATATCACTGCTGATCATGCGTATAAACAAACAAATACGGGAAGCGGATATAAACAAGTGAAAATGAGCTCTGGACAGGCAGAAACCAAGTGAGAGACACAATTTGCGAAAGCGGGATTTGGAGAGCAGAAGAGAAACTGCAAGGCAACAGAAATGAGAGTCAAAGGTCATAAGAAAAACATAGTTTACAACCCAAACCGTACGGATTTGATGCTCCGACTTAAAACTCCAAGAAGATAAGATTTCCCTGCGAGACAAAGTGCTGCAGGGATGAGAAGGGGGGCATTGTAAACCGGAGATAAACAGATCCATGTTGGGGTCAGAGGTGCCATTGCACTTATCACTTTAGCATATATACGAGTCCTGGTTTCAGACACACTTTTTACAACTTACACATGTCTAGTAGCATGCGAGTAATAGCCAGCACATGTTTGTGCTAAATCCATTTCTTTCCAACCACGATGAGAGCCTTACTTTCAAGGTTGGGTCAGAAACACACTGACACACTAGGAAAAAATTGGAACAATCAGCAGAAGGAAATGCTGCTTCACTGTACAGCCCTCTTCATCTCAGAATAAATAAAGGAACCTGTATTTTTTTTTTATTTCTTTTTTAAAAGAGATTTAGTAAGTGTAAACCTTCCTTATAGGCATGGAATGAAGCAAAATTTACAGGTTTGGTGACCAGGCTTTCAACCTGTGCAGCTTGCTCAGCCTGTGTGGATTATTACACCAGATGTCTTTCCTCAGCCTATAAAATATCCCCATTCACAAGGTATAATTAAACATTTACTGCCTGGTGCAGAGCCTTCCTATCATATTTTCATGAGAGAAGCTTAATAAAAGCATTTGTGGTCATTTCACTGTAGCAAAATCATCTCCGGCAGAGAAGTCTTGCTTGGGGACACAGCATGCACGCAGCACACACGCACGCTCATACCACAGCAAAGGCTCCTCATGCACATCTGTGAACCAGAGATAGAGCACTATCTGTCCAGAATGTCATTAACTACCAGCGCTGTAGATTTATATTCACTCAGTTGTGCCATATGAGCTTGTACAATTACATCCATAGTCTGGAGATCTTCTGCGAGTGGACACGTTGACATAAAATTACCAAGTCTGGGGAAAATGTAAATTAATACCCCACATCATAGGCAGCAAAGGTTGCTAACTTAATATAATGAACGTAAATGTGATGCATAGTAAGAGATGAGACAGGAGTATGAGACATGTAGGCGTTACTAAATGAATGAGAGGGGGAACAAATGTATTTCACTATAGTACCCTCGGGCTGTGGTTTCAACTTGTAACACCGGCAGTGCCATCTACAGGTTGAGAGGAGACATAGCACCTTCAAAGACCATCTCAGGACTCTATCATTGGGCAAGATCTGAAAACCAATCATGCTGGTGTGACACCATCTCTCTGCCACTTGGGGAAAAACTACTACTTGACCTATACCTATACCTCCAACCTGGAGTTTTGTATATTAATCTCGCCAAGCACTCCAGGTTCCTCCCACAGTCCAAAGACATCCATGAGTTTAGGTTAACTGGGGGTCCTAAATTAACCATAGAACGTGAGTGTGAATTTTTTTTTCTATATCTCTGCATTACCCTGGGACAGGCTGACAGATTGTCCAAGGTGTACCCTGCCTCTTGCCTCGTGACAACTAATATAATCTAGAGCACCCTGAAATGATAAGAAAATCAATGGACATAATCCATACTGGTCTATTTCCAAAAATGCTGATCTACTGGATTTTCCTACACAACCATTTTAGGATTCAGGGAAAATGGAATTACAATGAGAAAATATCCAGTGAGCAGCAGGTCTCTGGGTGCAAATGCCTTGTTGATGGCGGAGTACAATGGCCAGACTGCTTCAAGCTGATAGGATGCAATAGTAACTCAAATAACCACTCATTACAACCAAGCAGAAATGCATAAAACATTGAAGCAGATGGGCTACAGCAGCAGAAGACCACACTTGGTGCCACTTTTGTCAGCTAAGAACAGGAAACTGAGCCTAAAACTCACACAGACAAAAATTAGACAACAGAAAATTGAAAAACCTTGCCTGATCTGACAAGTCCTGATTTCTGCTGCGTTAGTCAGATGGTAGGATCAAAATTTGCATGGCTCCATCCTGCAATGTTGTGGTGCAAGGTTATTAAAGTTAACTTAAAATAGGCTAAAAACTGAAACATTTTGTGACCTTGGAAAACTAACGAACTAAAATAACACATATATATAGAGAAAGGAAATGTTCTTACCTTTGGTACCTGTTAATTAAGCAAAAATGTATTATTTACCTGCCTGATGACACATGATAAATGTGTTTATTGAGACTTGTGAGATGTTTACAAGACTGTTAGTCATCTGCTTTCAAAGCATTGTGTTGTTATTGGAATACCAATATCTTGCCTCAGACATATCTCCACACAATAATAATTATAAAAGACTAAAACTGACACTGAAACTAATGAAAACTAAAGTAAAACTAAATCTTTTCCAACAATAAAATCTAAACTGAAACAAGAAAATACACTCTGTAACCTAGCTGAAACTAAAATAAACAACAAAAAATGAAATAAAACTACTTAGAAAACACAAAACTTTAATAACTCTGGTGTGGGGGATATTCTCTTGGCACGCTTTGAGACCCTTATCACCAACTGAGCATTGTTTAAACACCACAGCCTGCAGGAGTACTGTTCCTGACCATGCCCATCCCTTTATGACCACAGCTTACCCATCGTCTGACGGCTTCCTCCAGCAGGATAATGCACCATGTCACAAAACTCTAATCATCTCACACCAGTTTATTGGACAAATCAACAGTGACTTTTGGTTTCAAGTAGGACAACCAGCTCCTTACATTGATTTTGATGCTCTTTTTATTACCTTACTTCTACTTCAGTGTTTGTCAGAAAGCCGTAAAGACAAACTTACCCCACTTCAGTCCCACCCCCCAAAGTCATAAATCTGACAACACAACAATGTGATTGGTCCTAAAATAGCATTAACTATGATGATGTAGGAATACCATCGGTCTCACTGATCCCTCATTTAACTCCACCAATACAATTTTTTAAAGATTAACTTATCTAACAGCATATGAATTGATTCAAACTGGACCAGTCTTATTCAGCTAGTGTGTTAACACTATAACTTTATTTATTTCACCTCTTTTTATCTCCTTTTTCCACATAGCTCGAGTCTCATGGAGATGTTTCATGACTTTTTGTTGCAAGTACAAGCAAATAGAAGAAGCATAAATAACTTATTCCAAGACGTTCCCTCGGGATTCCTTTATAAAAGCAATAAAACATTACAAAGTATTTCTAGAAACATAAAGAAAAAAATGTCATCTAATGCAGAAATTGCCCATCAGCCATCAAAAGAAATATGTATAAAATGTGAAAGTGAATTAACATTTGCAACACTTATTCAGTAAATTATATACTGTACAGATGGTATACTGAAAGAGGCCTGAACACCGAGAGCTCAGTGTCAAGCAGAAGCCTCGCTTGAATGACAGTCGAGCACGGTTATGCTTCAGTATGTACACGGCAGATCTT